GACACAACTGATCTACAGTTAGATACAGAGATGTAAAGCCCTTCAGAAGACTAACCAATTTAAAGTAAATCATCATCTTCAGCGATGGCACTATCCAGCTAGAGTTAAATAAAAGGATCACCTTAACTTCGAGTGGTTTTGAGAACATGTCTAGTATTTGGGCTTAGAAAGGAATTACTCCACCTGTGAGAATCCGCCTGTGCGTTGCCTGTTGTTGGCTCTGTATTACTGTACTTCATGGAGATGGTTGTTGTAATGAAGAAGCAGGGCGGCTGAAATGCGTAAAGCAGCTCTGGCTTCGACGGGTTTAATGGCAGGACCAGTTAAGGAATGATTGTTCTCTTCTGAACATAGGTGACCCCGGTGTATGTGAAGATTAAGAAAAAGCGGTTGGACCCGTTACACAAACTGATTGAGCATACGCTATTTACTCCAGCTCGTAAGCATCTCGTTTGTAAGCCGGAATACGGCAGACGTCGACCAGGAAGCCAGCATGCGACATGCAAGAACAAGATAGAGGCAGATGCAGATTTACTTTCAGAAACAAACATCTGCTCTTGCTATGCAGTAACAGGTGCCTTATAGCAAAAGTGTTGAACAGTTGTGGATATAGCGGACATCGCAAACCAGAAACGTTCTGCTTATGGAAATGGCCCCGAGCTGTGAACAAATGCGCAGATGAATCTCGCCACCATGAGGTGCAAAAACACTGCGGACTTGGCGTCACTTCTTGATTCAATAATGGGTATTTAAGGAATGAAAGAAAAATACCATGATGTCAGAAAGGTTTAATTTTGAACCGGTGATTAATTCTCTTCTAAATTTGCTTTGTATTTTCCAGAGCAATACGTCCCCATTTAAAAAGAGAACGTGTCATTGATAAAATCCTTACAATTTAAAGTATAAACTGAGAAGGAAAGGTTTATTTAGGCAAAAAATTTATCCTTTTCTAGCGCTTTTTAGAGATTGACCCTCATATGAGCGTCTTGGAAGACTTTTCATTTAAACTTTTAGGCTCAATAATAAAGGCTAGCGAAGAAGTTTATTGCATCGTTGATTTTGATGATGGTTCCTACTCAAATAACATTTATCACCACGACATCGAAATGTGTTCCTGTGTTGGTTCTTGCAACGGAGCGCATCAAAGTGGTGTCCGGGTTCAGATTCGATGGACTGACGGCAAGTTATATGGTGGCATATTCCGCAGGGCATATCGCGCAATGGCATACGACATTGAACTTGTTAATTGCTCTATCATCAAGTGTAGCAGGGACGAGTTGTTTGGTCCAGATGATTCCATTTCTGACGAAGTACGAAAAAAAATCTGTGACAAGCTTGGCCCTGACAAAGAAATTTCTAAATAAAGTACTGATTTTCGGAATATAGTTTTACATTATGTATTTGAAGTTTTTCAGTTGATTTGTTTGTTCCGTTGATTGATGTTTCCGTTGCACATTTTTAGTTTCTGATCGTTCAAACGTTTTCTAATTCAGTCGATGTTATCGTCTAGAAATATGAAGATGTTTTTTGCTGTCTATTGTTTACTTTGTTCCATAGTAATTAGATATAGTGACGGATATTTTTTGTTTCAAAGTTTGTAAATGACTGTTACGCTGAAAGTGCAGCTACTTTAGCGTCGCCGATAAAAAAGTCATGTTACTTAAAATTTTTTATATCATAAAAATGGCATACAACAATTTTAATATCACCTGGACCGAGCTTTAATACCGCCGACGAATCGCGCCGGCCGCAGGATCGTGCTGTCATAGTGCATGAAATTTTGCCTTCCGCTGGCACGACTGATGCAACGCAGCCCAGTCAAAGGAACAGAATGAAAAAGTTTACCGCTTGAAACTTAACAATTAACTGTTTCACAGCAAGTAAATGTCGAAACAAAACTTTTAATCGCGAGATTTTCGTTTTCCTTACACTTTCACTCTTGGGCGCAATTTTTTACACCCTTCAGTTTAATGAAAGTTATGCTGCGACGTCAACAGAAACTGTTTCCGTAGAATTACATATTGCTTACTACTTTGTTCTGTTCTAAGACTACCAATAGTTTATTGACCACTACAGCGCGGTCTCTAGTTGCTTTTTCACTACGTAAAAAAGTTTTCTCAAAAGAAAAAAGCCAAGTGAAACGAAGGGTTTGACTCAGGAAATTACTGGTCCATGACTTCATCCAAGGATGATAACAGCAAAGACACTAGAAGCAGGTCATAACATGGGCTGATGCGATCGATATGGTAGCAAAATAGCGGAACCAGTAATAAAAATTTTATTATTATGTTTTGTTCTGAGCCCTCAATCATGAGTTAATAAATTTGACACTACTAGAGCAACATGTGACCAATTTCAGCGGTCACCTGTACGGTGACAACAAATCCCATTTAGCGTTGATCTTGGTGAATACAGACAAGGAAAATTAAAGATGGAACGGTAGTTAGTGATGGAAAAAGAAGTGACAACGTTTAGTTGGTCAAACTGCTGAATTGCCTCTGCATATCATTATTGGTTTAAGCTACATAAAGAAAAATTTACGGCTGCAACAGATATTTAGAGGATTCAATGATAGCTGAAAAAAATAAACACCTGCGCCGTGCATATTCAGTCAAAACGTAAACAATATACAGCATTATGGCCGTAAAATGTTCTGTGAAGAAGAACGAAGTACGATGCCAAATATTTCAAATGCGGGCATAACATGAAACTGAAAGCTTCTGCAACACCGTTGAAGGAATGGGTTCACAAGTGAACGGCAAAAAAACGAAGGTACTGAGGGCGACCGCCAGCTCAAGGAAATTATGGAATGGTATTATGATGAAAGAGATGGATCATTCCAAACACCTCAGAAATGCGTCGAATAGCAACAGCGACACTGATCTTGAAATGGACTGGCATCAGCAAATTTTGGCAAGCCGTATGGCATATAGAAAGATCGAAATATAGGAATAAATATAGAGATTATATTGAAAACAGCCGCATTCGCGGTGCTTATATACAGAGTCGAAACATTAGCTATTTTGAAGCACCGTGAGTCTTGTCTAGGCAGCTTCCAAGAATGCTCTGTTGCAATATCTTCAACGTGCTAAGGTACCATCATGTTACAAACGGGCATTTGCTAATGAACAGCATTCTGATGTACTCTCAGATGAACTCAGAAACCACCGCTTGCCTGGGTTTGATAAAAAAAGCTACAACAGAATAAAGATGATTATTAAACTTGCCTTAAATAGCAACCGCCAACTGAGCCTGCAAGAGATGAGAAATACGACGCTGCAGAGGATGATGCCGGCCGATGAAAATACCGATCTTAAATATTTTCAAAAGTTCGACAAAAATCTGGGTTATTCGATTGATTAATTTATGCTAGCCTTTGATGACGATAACACAACGTGAAGTTAAACTGTTATTGCTTGAATGTCATAAAACAAACACATCATTTTTTCAGCATAAGAAAATAAAATTAACAGAAAATTTAAAAAACTGGAACAGCGAAAAACACGGAACCATCATCACAGCAGCACAAAAACCAACAAATTAGTAACCAGGAACATTGAAGAGAAACAGCTCTTCACATAGACGTAGCCTCTGAGAAGGCGTGCCAGAGCCGAGATGAATGATCTATCATGGAGTCCAGACAGAGAGGGAAAATTAACAAACTCAACAAATGGAATCCGCTTGCTCAATGATGTCAAAAACGGAAATAATGGCTGTGACGTGAATAAAGCTTTGAAGCCATAGAACCGTAACTCTAGTTAATGATCTATTGTTCAAAGCAGCAATTTAAAAATGATTATGCAGTTATCTTTATTCATCGAAATGCAATTTCGCAGCAGACAGAGAAAGACTGTTCACACACACACATACACACACACACACACACACACACACAAACACACACACCAGCAAAGTTGCACTTGTCTGCGAACCTTTACATAGAGAGCTAGAGATAAATTTAAGAAAATACCAACAAAGTCGGCTGCAAAAGAATAAAATCCTCTGCTGTAACGGCCAGCTGAAACTCCAGATTTCACCAACAAGTCCATTTCTGAATTCCAGTAGCAATCCAATCCGATGTACGTTTCAGTGCTGGAAGAAGATGCGCATAACAGATAGTCCGCTGTTTGTACCAAACCATGACAACTTAACGAAGTTATTCGAATGGTCACTGAAACCGTTTAATATAGCCAGCCACTTCACTTTTCTGAGTGTAATCTCACCTGAACACTGAAATCGCCCATTAGAATGATAGATTCCTTAGGCGACACATCGTCCAGAACAGATTCCTCCTCGTCGAAGAAACGCTCATTTTCCCATCGAGGTAGTCGCATATACATGTAGGCAGGTGAAAGCTTAAGTCTGTTGTAGCTTCAGCAAGATGATCGCCGCTCTTCCCCTGAGAGGCCACCATTCAATGATTATGCGAGTCACGTTGGACTCTACAAGAACACAATCATCGGCCTAAATCAGTGCCCTGATGTCTACAGATGAGTATAATAGCTACCGCCCGCATCATCATCTTCGTCTTCTATCGACGTTTCTCCTTTCAGGTCGCGGAGGCACACGCGTCAAACAGAGCTTCCAACGTTCCCGATCCAGTGCCACAGTCTGAGCTTCGGCAAAAGACAACTGCAGTTTGCAACAGACTCCTTCCATATATTTGCACCAGGTTAATCTTGGGCGTCCCATGGGCATATAGCCACTCGATTTCGAAAGAAAAGTTGCTCAGCCTTCCCTTATGGACCCATTCGCAGCACATGGTCAAACCATCGCAGCTGTGACTTCTCAATCTGGATAAGCAAAGACTGTATTCCAAGGCTCTTCCGCATGTCACTATTCCGGACCATGTCGAGACGCGTAAGGCCAGCGAATCGTCTAAGAAAGCTCATTTCAGCAGCTTGTACTCGGGTTCAAAGCTTTTCAGTGATGGTCCACGATTCTTGAGCGTAGGTAAGTCTGGGGTTAAAGATCGACT